ATATATATATATATATATATATATATATATATATATATATATATATATATATATATATATATATATATATATATATATATATATATATATATATATATTTATAATCTGTCGTATGCTTTGGCAACACAGTTCATACAGGAGCGGGTTTGCTCCAAGTTACACGTCCAGGACCTGTGATTTTCATGACTATAAATTTTGATCTTGTTCAGTTGTGAAGTTGCCAGCAGTTTCCTCTTTAATATTATATATAAATATATTTGTTTTATATAAAATATGTTACCTCTGTTGATGCATGTCAACCTGATCATTCATATTCAAGTTATTTTAATGTTTGCCTTAGCCCAGTTATGTGGCTCATTTAAATAATTTAATTTTATATAAATTCACCACTCATTATGTTGTGAGGGGGCGAGACCTGGGGGGCTCCGACGCCAGTTGAGTTAGTACCTGAGAGCCGGCCCTAGAGACAACTGATATGGTAATTGTCCTTGTTTTGTTCTTTATCTTGTCGTAGTAGATTTTATTTATCTTTGGGAGCTGCCTTATTATAATTATCTTAGTGTGCCACTATATTACTTGAGATATATGAGTATATATTATTTGAAATATTATATATATCTAATTTTATATACATGTGTGTTTACTTGTAACCTGGTAAAATTATTTAATTACTTTTGTATGGGGCGTACTGAAGAGGCACTCTGGTTGAATGTATTTAGATAAAGGGTTTATTATCATCCCCTAGATAACGTAAATTCTTGTCCCTGCAAGTTCATCGAGCGGTGCGTACAAGAAGTAACAATGACATCACAATGCAATAATTCAGTACTCACAATTACTGACTCCCCACACGACACATGATACAGTAATTACAAATACCAGGGTGTCAACCGACCACCGACAACCGACCTTGGTCTGATAAATTACTGGACCTGCAATGAAATACTCATGGAAATGGTACATCATTCATAATAATTAAAATCATACACATTACCCCCCATGAATAAATGAAATATATCACTAGGGAAAATTACACAATTATTACAGATCTCAGGGTTTCACCTGACCAGCCATATTTCTCTGGCCCAGCACCTGACTTCCTCTGAAATGATATACATTCATGGCCACATGACATGAATCTTGACTCTGAAGGATATATATAGAATCTTCAGATCAAAACAACATTTCTATGGAAAATCTCCACACTGACCGGTTTACAGACCCGAGCCAGTCAACACAGTTTGTTTTACATATATATCTAAATTGTGTTGCTGTGTATAACATATGGGAGCCGGTCGGCCGAGTGGACAGCACGCTTGACTTGTGATCCTGTGGTCCTGGGTTCGATCCCAGGCGCCGGCAGGAACAATGGGCAGAGTTTCTTTCACCCTATGCCCCTGTTACCTAGCAGTAAAATAGGGACCTGGGTGTTAGTCAGCTGTCACGGGCTGCTTCCTGGGGGTGGAAGCCTGGTCGAGGACCGGGCCGCGGGGACACTAAAAATCCCCGAAACCATCTCAAGATAACCTCAAGATACGCACTCATGATTTTACAGTCTGTGCCCTTCCACAGCTGCTACTTGACGTCAGTACAGATGCCTCTACAGCTAGCTTCCCTCACATAGGGCAGATGCTTGGGACAACCACATCTGGTATCTGATTTAACATCAGCCCAGCGACAACTGCACAATACATAAATCTGAGTAATCACGTTACAGGTCTCCACTTGAACACTGCTCATATACACCCTCCCCAGACTGAAGCAATGAACCTGAAGATCACCCAACTTGCTCACACGTGGTTCTGCCACTACCCAGGTATCGACCCGGTGTAGCCACAGGGTATGGCCAGAAGTATTGCCACAGAGTGATGCGAGATGATGTCCGCCCCGCCGCCTAGGCTGACTGCATAGCCCTCAAGGCGTACACAACTGGTGTGGGAGACTCGTTCATTCACGTGCACACACATCACGAGCGGGGCTCGCTCGTACGCTGAACACATGTTCACTCATACAGAATCTTTTCTCAATTTAATTCCTTAATATCTATCCCACGATCAATCAAATTGGATCCAGGCACGATCCACGATAGCGGGGTCGCCGTAGTGATAAGGAAATGGATGATATCACGGCGATAACGGTGGTGGCAGGTGGCAGACCACCCACCAGAGACATTTTACTCTAAAAACGCCGATCCTAGACTGAATTTTGGAGAGCCTAGGGAACGCAAAGACTCTCGTCTCCCCTCCATCTTGTCTTGTCCAATCAGAGATAAGCCGGCAGACCTATGAGGTGCAGGTCCCAATCACCAGAGTTCACGCCCAAACGCATACACGAGGCTGACGTGCCCCGCCCAATCAGGGACGTCCTTGGCCATGCGGAATCTCATGTCGTCACAGGAAGGAAAGGTCTGGGATGGCGGCATCCTTCTAGGGTGGGGAAGGCAGCGAGCACCCGTCTTCCCCCAAAACAGTTGGCCCCCTAGTTTCAAGTACCTCCTTGTACCTACCTCTCTGTATACACATTTGTTTTAAGTAAAATATGTTGGAAATTCCAACACTTATACATAATTTTTGCATAATAATACATCCTTATTGTATTAACCACAGTAATTACTAATCTTACTAATTCGTAAAATTAATCTAATTAATGTTTTCTATTGCGAAACCATTTTTGCCAAATTTTTCCTAGTATCAATGGCGCAGCTATGTGTTGTGACAGGAAGTCACAGGAAATTCCCTCCACATTTAGTTGAATCTAAACAGAGTCCAGTTACTTATTTTCCTTTATTAAGGATAATCCTTTATTTATATAGCATATTACTGCTTACTAAACTCACTCATTTGGGTGAATTAACAACTAGATTGGAAAATATTGCAATGAAAATAATTTCCTTTCGTTCATTTTACGCAGTCTTAATAAGCTGACTTGTGTTGTGAAAAATTATATTGCTCCCAATACTTTCGTCAGTGACATTAGTACTTGTCACTATTCCTTACTTACATAATTAATTACAAGTAAGTAAAATAATTTACGCTCGAGAATACTTTGGAGCGTTCTGCGCATGCGTATCGCAGCCAGGGAGGAAGGAGACACCATTCCTACTAGCGGCGCCATATTAACAGCATGCAAGAGAGAGTAGCGCCATTGCAAGGAACTTGTGTAGTGTCATTTAATTCGCTCCCACAACCCCGAGAGCGGTGCCACGTTATTTCGGTACCCAGTGGCAGTGTCCAGGAACTTCTCCAACCCGTAGTTGACGTCTTAACAAAGCAGGTGAAGACGAGGGATCTGGAACTGTTCCTTCATCAACGGACACTTGGCCCGGCAACTTTAATTATTCTATTTGTTTTACTGTGCGCACATAAAACATTTAGATAGTTGTCGTTAGGCTGAGAAATTGACATCAAAATCCAGTATGTGCACTCTCTAGCTGTATTCCGTAATTTATATTGGGATATATATTGCCATGATAGCTGTAGAAGATTTTCTGCAGTGATAGATATATCCTTTAGGAAGAATTTCGTATATAGGATGTACCTGTAATTAGTTACGTGAAGATTTGTACAATGTAATTGCCTTCCAGCTCCCGAGTCCCAGTCACGCAAGGAGCTAGGCTCTCCCACGACCATCTTAAGTTCCATTTTAAGTTCCCTTTAAGTTCCATATTGTTTGACCATAAGTTCAACAATTTCTCCGACGCAACACGTCGTCCGTGGAGTGTGGCAACCGGCAACTCTCTAGACTTCACAGCTGTCAACTTTACTGTAGATAACTAACAAATATAGTTCCCTTAATGATCTCCCAATGAGATCAATACTACTAACCCATTGATTTAGTAATATGCTAGTCAATATTATTGTAGTATTTTAAGGTACATTTGTATCTAATTATTATTACCTAATTCATTTAATTTCAATCATATTTATTTAATTTAGTGACGAACCTGCACTGAAATCATGCTTGGAATTCATTAATCTTTTCGCATGTAACCCCTGTTTTGGGTAAGTGAATTTGACTCATAATACAGTCCCTTTAATATTTCAATATATTATTAATTAAGAACATCCATAGGACACTAGTTCATGGATTTAATTTCAAACCACTTTGCTCTATCCAGTTTTCCACTTTTTCTCAAAAAGTGGTGGTCCTTTGTAAGCTATCGAAAATAGTATTAATTTAAATGATTTACATGAGTCACGTTTTCCCACAAAATATGTTAAATGCTGTCTTTCCACAGAGCAGTTACAGACTTCATCATAGTCTTAATGAACAGATATAAGCGTCGGCTTTCAGCAGACTCCACACAAGGGCATATAGTGTGGGAACTTCTCTTGAACACTTGATTGCACCAAATACTCTAACCTAGTCTAGAAAAACTAGCTGGGAATTCAATTCCCTCACACAGACCATGAGTGCAGGAGGGCTCCTAGACTAGACGCAGAGTGCAGGAGAACTCCTAGAGCAGACCCAGAGTTCAGGAACTCCTAGACCAGACACAGAGTGCAGGAGGACTCCTAGACCAGACCCCAGAGTGCAGGAGGACTCCTAGACCAGACCCCAGAGTGCAGGAGGACTCCTAGACCAGACCCCAGAGTGCAGGAGGATTCCTAGACCAGACCCCAGAGTGCAGGAGGACTCCTAGACCAGACCCCAGAGTGCAGGAGGACAATGTGTAGAAACCTTGACTTCGTTTCAGTTTAAGCCTAAGGGCCACGATAGAATTCATGTCATTCGCAGGTTGCATTGCTTTCACCATGTCGTGGCATAGTGGTCTATGGCAAATGCTTGTGAGTATCCAGAGCGAAGATTCGAATCCTCATCTTGGCTTCTACTGATTATCTCATTGATGATTTTCTTATTTTCCCGTTGTTTTTGGGTTTGGTTTGGTCTGCCATATATTATCATGATTCTGGTCAAATTTATCAATGCATTGCAGTGTAATACAATATTAAACAAGTGATATAAAAATATATTAAAAAACTTACTGTAAAATATGTTACCTGATTATACCTGAAGATACGTGTGAGTGACGTGAAGTGGTTATGAGAACCAGGTGACAGCCGGTGAGATGACGCTCCACCACCTGGCCCACCATCACGCCCACCTGACCCACCATCACGCCCACCTGGCCCACCATCACGCCCACCTGGCCCACCATCACGCCCACTTGGTCATCGGTACCACCTACTTCTTGACTGACCAGGGGCACAGCGTTCACCAAAATGGCAGCCATTGCTTTTATATAATTTTTCAGGTTAACCATCCTGGCCTAGATAATGAAGATATGAAATTTCAGTTAAATACATATTAAAACACACACACACACACACACACACACACACACACACACACACACACACACACACACACACACACACACACATGTGTGTGTGTATACCATGCAAGGTATACATGTTTGTATACATGTGTGTACTCACCTAGTTGTACTCACCTAGTTGTGCTTGCACAGTCTTCCCCATCACCTTGCATGGTATACACACATGTATAGGTATACACACATGTATATCTGGTGTTTGCCACCAGACTAGTACCCGAGCTGAGAGGTATGAGCTACGAGGAGAGACTACGGGAATTCAACCTCACTTCATTGGAAGACAGAAGAGTTAGGGGGGACATGATCACCACATTCAAGATTCTCAAGGGAATCGACAGGGTTGATAAAGACAGGCTATTTAACACAAAGGGCACACGCACAAGGGGACACAGGTGGAAACTGAGTGCCCAAATGAGCCACAGAGATATTAGAAAGAACTTGTTTAGTGTCAGAGTGGTTGACAAATGGAATGCATCAGGAAGTAATGTGGTGGAGGCTGACTCCATACACAGTTTCAAGTGTAGATATGATAGAGCCCAATAAGCTCAGAAACCTGTACACCTGTTGATTGACGGTTGAGAGGCGGGACCAAAGAGCCAGAGCTCAACCCCCCGCAAGCACAACTAGGTGAGTACACACACACACACACACACACACACACACAAGAGACCTCCGATTGGCGTGAAGTCACCAGTGGAGTCCCACAGGGCTCTGTACTCGGTCTTATCTTGTTTCTGATATATGTAAATGATCTCCCGGAGGGTATAGATTCATTTCTCTCAATGTTTGTGGACGATGCCAAAATTATGAGAAGGATTAAGACAGAAGAGGACTGTTTGAGGCTTCAAGAAGACCTAGACATACTGAAGGAATGGTCGAACAAATGGTTGTAAGAATTTAACCCAACCAAATGTAATGTAATGAAGATAAGTGTAGGGAGCAGGAGGCCAAATACAAGGTATCATCTGGGAGAGGAAATTCTTCAGGAGTCAGAGAAAGAAAAAGACTTGGGAGTTGATATCACGCCAGACCTGTCTCCTGCAGCCCATATCAAGAAGATAACATCAGCGGCATATGCCAGGCTGGCCAACATACGAACGGCATTCAGAAACTTGTGTAAATAATCATTCAGAACTTTGTATACCACATATGTCAGTCCAATCCTGGAGTATGCAGCCCCAGCATGGAGTCCATATCTAGTCAAGGATAAGACTAAACTGGAAAAGGTTCAAAGGTTTGCCACCAGACTAGTACCCGAGCTGAGAGGTATGAGCTACGAGGAGAGACTACGGGAATTAAACCTCACTTCGCTGGAAGACAGAAGAGTTAGGGGGAGATATGATCACCACACTCAAGATTCTCAAGGGAATTTATAGGGTAGATAAAGACAGGTTATTTAACACAAGGGGCACACGCACTAGGGGACACAGGTGGAAACTGAGCGCCCAAATGAGCCACAGAGATATTAGAAAGAACTTTTTTAGCGTCAGAGTGGTTGACAAATGGAATGCATTAGGAAGTGATGTGGTGGAGGCTGACTCCATACACATTTTCAAGTGTAGATATGATAGAGCCCAATAGCATAGGAATCTGTACATCTGTTGATTGACGGTTGAGAGGCGGGACCAAAGAGCCAGAGCTCAACCCCCGCAAACACAACTAGGTGAGTACACAGACAACACTAGATACAGTCAACTCTATACACTGAAACATACGCAATCAACACTATATACAGTCAACAGTATGCACAGACACATACACAGTCAACACAATACACAGACACATACACAGTCAACACTATACACAGACACATACACAGCCAAAACTGTACACAGGCTCATTCACAGTCAACACTATACACAGACACATACACAGTCAACACTATACACAGTCAAACACAAACAAGCCCGCCTACCGCCATCCTCACCCCTCACCCCCGGGACTGACCTTCCATCCCTCACCCACCTGATTGCCCTTTTTCCTTGCTCCCCCGCTCTGCCTATTTCCCTCTCTCCCTCGCTCTCCCTCTCCCTCTCTCCCTCGCTTTCCCCCACTCCCTTTCACTCCCCCTCTCCCTTTCACTCCCCCTCTCCCTTTCACTCCCTTTTCTTCCTTTCCCCCTCTCCCCCCATCCCTCCACCAGTTAACCCGACCCCCCACAATAAACAAACACACCTACGCACACACACACACACACACACACACACACACACACACACACACACACACACACACACACACACACACACACACACACACACACACACACACACACACACACACACACACACACACACACACACACACACACATACACACACACACACACACAGTGATGTGGTGGAGGCTGACTCCATACACAGTCGTAAATGTAGATATGATAGAGCCCAGTAGGCTCAGGAATCTGTACACCAGTTGATTGACAGTTGAGAGGCGGGACCAAAGAGCCAAAAGCTCAACCCCCGCAAGCACAAATAGGTGAGTACAAATAGGTGAGTACACACACACACACACACACAAGTCAATCGGGATGGTAAGACAACAGAATGAAGCTGGAGGAGAGGGACTGGACGAGTCATACATGGAGATGATTGCCAAGGCATGGAAGGAAGTCAGTGGAGAATTGAAGGACCTGAGGGAAACTATATGTAAGCTGCAGATAGAACTAAGTGCAGCGCAAGAGGAGATAAAAAGCCTAAAAACAGGCCCTCCTCAGACTCTGGCCCAGGGGACCAACCCCCATGTACCAGGAGATGTAGCAATGGCAGGGACCCCTACAATTGGCCCAACCTTTGCTGAAATGCTGAAGAGCCCAGGAGCAATGTCCACAGTCAAGGAAGTTGTAATGAAAGCAGTAACCTCACAGGAGGCAGCTAGATGCACAAGTCAGCTAATGGAAAGGAAAAGAGCTGTGGTAGTGGTAGCTGTGAAGGAACAAGAGGGCTCCACAAGGGAGGAATGGAGGACTAAAGACAAAGCTGCAGTGGCAGGGATATTAAAGGAGATAGGAATGGAAGGGGCTGAACGAGACATAGAACAGTTTTTCCGGATTGGCCAGTACAACAGAGACAAAAAGAGATTGATCAAGGTAGTATTCAAGAGCGAGGACATCAAAGAGGACATCCTAGTAAAGAAGAGCAAACTGAGGTATGCAAGGAACTACAAAGAGGTATATGTTCAGAGGGACATGACCAGAGACGAGATAGTAAGGACAGAAGATGCAAGGAAAAGGCGCAAGGAGAGGGAAGGGAGCCAAGGAACCTCAGCCTCCAACCCAGCAATCCCAGAGGGGAGTGGGGAACCCCAATCCAGCAACCCAGGAACCCCAGGGGGGAATGCAACACCCCAGCCCACCACCCAATAAAGCTGGCTGGTGGGCCCCCCTATTCCCCAGCACAAACCCTTCCTTGCCCCTGCACAATGCCCATAATGAAACCCAAATCCTCCCCCTCCCCTTACCCCAAGTATCCCCTGCTTTCCTAGCCCCTGGTCTTCTTCCTGCCCCAAGCAGGCCTAAGGAAGACTTAAGCCCTCCATCCCCCATTCCACTCCTCCCCTGAACCCATGGCAACTACCTCACAGGAGGATGAGCCTACCCAAGTAGCAATGACCATGGAACAACTTCCTACACTTGTGGGGAGTGAGGGTGAAATTGAATATAAGAAAGTGAGCTTCAAGGTAATGTACTCAAACATTGATGGGATTACCAATAAAGCAAGTGAACTGGCAAAAAGGGCGCAAGAAGAAAACCCTGATGTAATAGAACTAACGGAAACAAAATTGTCAGGAGTCATAACAGATGCTGTGTTTCCAAAGGACTACTATATAGTAAGGGAAGAGAGGGAAGGGAGAGGAGGTGGAGGAGTGGCCCTGCTGATAAGGAAGGACTGGAGTTTTGATGTGATGGAAATTCCGGGCTGTGAAGGATTCAGAGATTACATAACAGGAACTATTACAATGGGTGGACCTAAGATAATAGTGGCAGTCATTTACAACCCTCCCCTAAATGACAGAAGACCTAGACAGGAGTTTGATAGGAACAACATGGTAACCATTAATATAATAGAGAGAGCAGCTTCAAGCAGGGCTTGAAGCTTCGAGCAGCAGGTTCCAAAGGAGAAAAACGAAAAACAACAGAAAAACCCATGGTTCAACAACCAGGAATGCAAGGTAGCGAAGCAACTGAGTAAAAGAACATGGAGAAACTACAGAAATAACAGAACACCAGAGAGCAGGGAGAGATACCAGAGGGTCAGAAATGAGTACCTCAGAGTGAGGAGGGAAGCAGAGAAACAGTTTGAAAATGACATCGCGAGTAAAGCCAAGACCCAGCCAAAGCTGCTCCACAGCCACATCAGGAGGAAAACAGCAGTGAAGGAACAAGTGATGAAGCTGCAAAAAGGGGAGAATAGATACACAGAGAATGACAAGGAGGTGTGTGAAGAACTCAACAAGAGATTCCAGGAGGTCTTCACAATAGAACAAGGAGAAGCCCCTGCACTAAATGAGGAGGCGGCAAACCAAGCAACCTTGGAGGAATTTGACCTCACCAGTGATGAGGTCAAAAAGCGTCTGCTGGAGCTGGATGTGACAAAGACTGTTGGGCCTGACAGAATCTCACCATGGATACTAAAGGAAGGTGCAGAAGCACTAAGTGTGCCATTCTCTATGGTGTATAACAGGTCACTGGAAACAGGAGACTTACCAGAAAGTTGGAAGACAGCTAACACAGTCCAATATTCAAGAAGGGTGACAGGCAAGAGGCACTGAACTACAGGCCAGTTTCCTTAACTTGTATACCATGCAATGTGATGGAGAAGATCGTGAGGAAAGGGCTCGTAGAGTATCTGGAGGGAAATAACTTTGTAACGCACCACCAACATGGGTTCAGGGATGGTAAATCGTGACTGACAGGTTTAATAGAATTTTA